AATCACGTAACTGTGTCAAGCTATCTTGTTAATTTGCACATAGCGTTAAAATCTCTGGCTCTTCACATTCTTGAGAACTACATGCAAATAAAAGTAACTGAAACAGAGTAAATGTAATATAATTGCTTTGCCTTCTTTTAGGGCCTCTAGATCTTACCACAACAAGCTTCGTTTTAAAAAGCAACAGGAATACTTGTATGGCTACAAAGGTGGATAAAGAAATTTAAAGATAACCAAATTAAGAAAAGTAGACTTGTCATGGTGTGGGTCAGCTGGTTGGAGCATTGTCCCATACACCAAAAGGTCACAAATTCGCTTCCCAGTCGGGGCACATACCCAGGTTTCGGGCTCAATCCCCATTTGGGGTTCATACGAGAGGAAACCGATCAACGTTTCCCTCTCACATCGATGTTTCTCTCTTTCTCCCTCTCCCTAAAATCAATAAAAACATATCCTCTGGTGAGGATTAAAAAAAAAAAGTGGACTTAAAGTTGTCCACTTTTAATTGAAAATTTAATAAATTAAGAATGAATTTATAATTACAGCAAAAGTTCTAATAAATGTTCAAGTGATTCACTCCCACTTTGTAGACCACTTACATAAAAACATAAAGTAGCACCAAGTTCCTGTGACACTGGGTGAATCTTCCGAGTCTCAGTTTCCCATATAACACATTGATCTCTAAAACCTACCCAGCTCCAAGAGTATCTGATTGAATGAAAATAAAAATATGCAGATACTCAGACATTAAACCTGCAGAGAACTTTTACGTGATCATTTCTAAGCATTTTTTCCTGTAACTGTGTTCAATGCATTGCTAGTCAACTAAATATGAAACAATAGTCCATAGATTCAATCATTTAAAATATTAATGGAGCTGGCTTATAAGAATTAGTTAATGAAATAAACTCATTCCTTAATTTTCTAATTCATATTTAAACATGTTGGATTTAAAAAGTAGTATACTTAGGTAACAAATCCTCAGTCTTTATATATGTGCATATTAAATTTTAATGTACATATTTTTATACCTTTCTAAGCACTCACCAATGGTTTAGCTAAAAACGTAGCAAATACCCTAAGCAATCTCAGCATGTTGACTGCCTGTGAGAAAGAATGGCCTCACTGTTTAAACTACTGAGCAGGTAACACCCTTTCAGAATGTATGACAAATAGTTATAATTAGGTAGGGCCCAAAGATCTGTCTGCTGTTTTTGTTTTCATTCTGTGGCAGAGGTACTATACCAAACAGTGCAATAATTAAGTTCTTTAATTACTTTTCATTCTTCAAAATTTAAAGTTATATTCATTTACAAACAAAATCTTTTAAATATACTGAACTACTAAAGCAAAAACTTTTAACTCCTAAAGGCAACGTGCACATAAAAATAACTGTAACGTGCCTTGGCCAGTGTGGCTCAGTTGGTTGAGCATCATCCCATGCACCCAAAGGTTGCTGGTTCAATTCCCGGTCAGGTGACATGCCTAGGTCTTGGGCTTGATTCCCAATAGAGGGCATGCAGGAGGCAGTTTATCAGTGTTTAGCTCTCACATGGATGTTTCTCTCTCTCTCCCTCCCTCGCTAAAAAAAAAAAAATCAATTAAAAAAATTTTTTTTAAGTATTTAAAAATATAAGTAACTGAAAAGTGACACAACTGTTTCGAATGCTCTCAGCCTTTAGATCTCAACACAAAGTCTCCAATTTAAAAAACAATTTATCAACTACTCAAATGCTTCTGCATAGAATATATGAGTTTTTCATTCAGCGTGCTTTAGAGAATATTAACTTTCAGTTAATATCATCTTTCCTCATTTTCTATAAGTACAATGAAATTGAGAATAGCAGATTTGGGATACAAAAAGTAATCCACATAAGACTTACTAAATATATATATTAAGAGCATACATAAACCTCACTTCTGATTTTTAGAGATAAAGGGGATCCTGGGGAGCAATAATTATTCAAATTAATAATATAGCCCTATTAAGCAAATAATCTTACAAAATGGAAAACATTATGTGCATTGTAAGCTGATAATTATCTAATATAACCATTTATTGTAGGATGCCGCACATGTGATCTCTTGATATTAAAATGATCCAACTTAAGCCTAGCCGGTGTGGTTCAATGGTTGAGTGTCAACCCATAAACCAGGAGTTCATGGTTCGATTCCCTGTCAGGGCACATGGCCAGGGTTGCGAGCTTGATCCCCAGTAGGGGGCATGCTGGAGGCACCCAATTGGTAATATTTCTCTCTCATTGATGTTTCTATCTCTCCCTCTCCTTTCCTCTCTCTGAAATCAATAAAAACATATTTTAAAAAAAGATTCAACTTAAAATAATTTGCATTGCCCACTGTAGGAGAGCAGGCATTTCGTATTTAAGTTACATGGAGCTCAGTGACAGAGATGTGCCTCCATGATGACACTAGCTGAACACACAGTGAAAATCTATTTAAAGAGAAATTAGATGTGAGTCCCCCCCCCCAAAGGTAAAAGGCTTTAATATTCACTGATGCTAGAAAAACAAACACAAACTATTAAAAAGAACAAAAAACTTTGCATGAGCTTATGAAACATAAACTTCTTTATCTTTATTATCCCTCTTCCTCACCCCCCAAAAACACAAGGTCAGTGAGGAATGGAAAGCAGACAACAACAGTGTTAACTGGCTTACAGAAACTGGAGAAAGCTGCAATTGAAGCCTACTGGAAGGGAAGGCAACAAAAAACACATCTAAGAAAAGTTATCGCAAATCTGAAACAAGAATCATTTACTGTTTATTTTCAAAAGTGGGGAAGAGAACAGTTAAAAAACAAGAATTCCTGAAGCCAAAATTATAATTCAAAAGGAGAAAAATGGAGAATATTCACACCCCAAAAAAGAACCAAAAAAAAGCTGATTCTTAAAAATTGAGGGGAAAAAAATTAATACATAAATTCAAGAGGCCCAACATCCAACAAAGAGCTTCAGTCAGGCGGGGGAAAAATTCAAGGGGAAGAAGTTATAAAAGAAATTTTAAACATTTTGCCAGAACCCAAGAACCCAAGTGTAGAGTCTAAGGATCCATGGACTGCTCAGTCTATCCAAAAAGAAAAAATAACAATCAGGCACATTACAGCAACATTTTAGAGTTTAGGAGATAATACAAAGGTACTATAAAGCATCCAGAAAGAGAAAAAAATTACATACAAATGGCTGGGGTGTGTAATGCTGCTGACTAAGAGATAGCACTGGAAGCTGGCAGAGCAATGCCTTAAAAATTCCCAGGGAAACTGACTTTCAACATGGCATACAGTCGGTCCATCACTTCAGTGTGCTTCCACATCTCTTGGCATCCCAGCAGGGACATGGCTGGCTCTGGACAACGGACTATGGAGCAAATGTGACATGTGTCACTTCTGAGCCAAGTATTTCAGTGCCAGCCTGTGGCCTGTCTGCTCTCCCTGTCTCTGCTGTGGTAGCCTGAGCCTTGGGTGATGGGAGGGGAACGCAGGTGACAGTAGGCTGGATCTCAAGGAAGATGCTAGGGGAACCCCAGGCCCACAGCAGATGTGGTGAAAGTGAGAAACACACCTTTATTTGTTGCTCAGATTTCAGAGTTAGGCTGCCACTGACTCAAATAGTAACCTAGAAATCTATACCCAGCTGGACCATACATCAAATATTTAGAACACAGACATTTTCTGACATGCCAGGTGTCAAACACACAATGACCCCATGCCCCATCACCTGTCTAGGAAGTCACTAGGAGGATGAGCTCCATCAAATCAGGGAAGTAAACATACAGCTCTGGTTTGATTCAGCCTGTTTGAGATAATGTCCCTGTCATCTATAGCTCTTCCCAATCAAACGCAGGTCACCCTCCAAGGGCCAGCTCAACTGTGGCACATCCTCCATGAAGGGTTTCCTCCACAAACCCAAATTCCCTTGCTCCCCGGAGAAAATAAAACATCTTACATCAATGGCAAGAAGAGGTGTCTATACCAGACTCCACTATGAAATCTGTAATGTGGTATGTGACTTTGGGAAGACTATGTAATCACTTTTAGTCTCAATTTCCTCATCATCTAGGTAAGAAAGAAGCTGGTTAATGATCAGGAAGTTCATTCTATTTCTACAATGAAATAATTTTGCAAATGTGCCAAACCACTAAAATCCTAATGCAATTCTATTTTGATACATGCTTACATAATCTGAGTCTGTTATAACTGGTAGTACTGTTATTCAGTGTGTGTGTGTCGTGTATGTGTTCACTTTAAAAGCAATGTCAAAAGACAAAAATAGCTATTGCCAAAAAATATTTACTTTAAAGCTGAAATTAAGCTTGAATAGCAAACACCTTCATTATTATAAACATCAAACCAAAATTCATAAAAGGAAAATCATACAAAGTAACAAACCTACCAGTAAGACTTCCTCCTTTAAAAGTGTGTTACTGTACTGCTGCTTCAACCATCCAGCATGTTTCTGGTGTGGCCAGAACAACAGCTACCACTACAAGTTCAACCATAAGCAGCAACCTAAAAGAGGCTATCTAGAGCACTTGGTGAACACACCTTGTCTACACAGTTCTAAAGAATAACATTAAACTCTTATTATCATTTTTGATGAAAATTTTATCCAATATGAACCATATATTCCTCTGCCTTCAGAATAAAAGCTTTAAACACAAATGTATACGCTGAATACACAGTAATCTCAGACTGCCATCAAACTGCTGTAGATGGGTGCCTCTTCAGATAACCAAATTTACCTGCTGCTGCCGAAACCGGTTTGGCTCGGTGGATAGAGCGTCGGCCTGCGGACTGGGGGGTCCCGGGTTCGATTCCGGTCGGGGGCATGTGCCTGGGTTGCGGGCATATCCCCAGTGGGAGATGTGCAGGAGGCAGCTGATCGATGTTTCTCTCTCATCGATGTTTCTGACTCTCTATCTCTCTCCCTTCCTCTCTGTAAAAAAAATCAATAAAATATATTAAAAAAAAAAAAAAAAATTTACCTGCTGGCAAATTTCAGGATGGCACGGTGACACCTTCAGGGTTCAGTGATGTTCAGATAACTGCTTGTCATCTAGGGCTTCAGAGACTGGATCTTGTCGTCTTTCTTCTCCTCTTTCTTTCTTTATTCAATGGTCTGCTCCCAGGGACAAGGGGATAGCCACTGCTCCCCAAACATAGTCTCCAAGTGGATGCCCTTTTAATAATTTCAAGAAACAAGTTTAGTATGATAGCTGCTAAGAGTGATAACGCAATATTAAAACAGCATGAATCGAGCACAGGGCCTTGCAGAGGGCCATGCATTTTACCTTTTTTGTTCTCGATCCTCCACCACTGACGGCCATGACCCAGGGCCAAGGAACCCAATGGTGGCTGACACTGTAAGCATCTGCCACCCTCACTCTTCTAGTAGCTGGCACCATTAGTACTTATGTGGACTCCACTCTCTCTTCTCTTATTGACATTTTTCTTGTCCCTTTGGACCCTCACCCTTTCCCACACAGGACTTCCTTAACAAGAAAAACCAAGTCTTACATAGACATTGCTGATAAACCAGAATACTCCTTTTGACCAATCACAGTGTAATCTAATTATTACTATTAGTACTTGTTATAGGCCAGGCACTGAACTCACACATCTACATGCATTGTCTCTTCAATGTTCACACCAATGCTGAGAAAGGCAGTTGTACAGATAAAGCAAATGAGATTTCCTGTTTATTTTTAAAAACCTACACTTATAAAGAACTTATAAAACACCAAAAAAAACAAACAATCCAATTTAAAAAATGGGCAAAGAACCTCAATAGACATTTCTCCAAAGAGGACATACAGATGACCAATAGACATATGAAAAGAGGCTCAAAGTCACTAATCATCACAGCAATGCAAATTAAAACTACAATGAGGTATCACCTCACACCTGCCAGAATGTCTACCATCAGTAAAGTAACACAAACAGTGTTGGCGAGGATGTGGAGAAAAGGGAACCCTTGTCCTTTGTTGGTAGTAATGCAGATTGGTGCAGCCATTGTGGAAAACAGCATGGAGATACCTCAAAAAAATTAAAAATGGAACTATCTCATGATCCAGTGGTTCTACTTCTGGGAATATAACCAAAGAAACCCAAAACACTGATTCAAAAAAATATACACACCCCTATGTCCATTGCAGTATTATTTACTAGTACAATAGCTAAGATCTGAAAACACCCCAGGGTCCACCAGTAGATAAGTGGATAAAAAAGCTGTGGTACATTTACACAATGGAATAGTACCAAGCCATAAAAAAGAAGGAAATTTTACCCTTCGACAACATGGATGGACCTGGAAAGCATTTTGCTAAGTGAAATAACCAGAGAAAGACAAGTACCATATGATTTCACTTATATGTGGAAACTAATGAACAAAATAAACTAACAAACAAAATAGAAACAGACTTTAGAAAACAGACCTATAGCTGTCAGAGGGGACTGGGGTTGTGGAGCTGAGTGAAAAGGTGAAGGGATTAAGCAAAAAAAAAAAAAAACCTCATAGACACAGACAACAGTATGGTGATTATCAGAGGGAAGTGGGGGAGGGATGTAGGAAAGGGTAAAGGAGATAAATGGTGATGGAAGGAGCCTTGATTTGGGTGGTTAACACATAATACAATATACAAATGATTTAGTATAGAATTGTACACCCAAAACCTATATAATTTTATTAACCAATGTCACCCCAATAAAATCAATTAAAAATAAATACCTACCCTGTGAATTCTGCAGAACCAGACAGAAATATTCTAACCCATGACAGAGCTTGGATTTTACTTTAAACAAATAATGTTCACAGTAAGTGTCAAATGGATGACTATCTCCAGATTAGCCCCATATGAGGAATAGACTGGGAGGGAACCTAAGATGTGTTCAAGGTCACAAAGCTAGTAAGGTATACTCTTTCCTGAAGATCTAACACATCCAAAATGTCCTTTAGGTGCAATTTGAGAACTGAAATCTTAAATGACTTTACCTAGTATGTCTATCTTAAAAGCATCAAGAAGACCAACAGCCCCCTAAAAACAACTGTTCCAACTAAGTAAAATTTGATGTTGGTGTGAATCATCAAAGAAGACCCAAGTTTAAAGTAAAATGTACACTCAGTCCTAAAGTTTTCACTACTTGTAAGCATAATAAAATAACCATAAAATATTAATGCCAATTTCACTATTGGTCCAACATAAGTCATGTCCCACTACTGTTCCCAGTTTACTACCTGGACAACTCTTTTGGTCAATCTTGTCACACACAAAAAGTTTGCTCTTTCTGTGACATACATTAGTATTATGAATTCCTCCCTTGTAAAGGGAATTTTACAAAAGTACACAGGGACCGCAAATGCACCCTTGCCAAAACTGGAGGAGGTGAGGGATGAGGTCAGAGGACTGAAACAGACAACCTTCACTTCCCATAACAGGCGCAACAAACAGAACAGCAAAAAGTGATCCTAGTTCTGGGTCATTTACCTGTCTACCCTTCTTAAATATTAAAATGGATGTATATACACCCACTAGTTATACTGGATTATAAATAAAGATCAAATTCAACATAGTTGTGTACCAACCCATTTCATATGGCTGTGTATTTTTGAGAGAAAACAGTAACTATCACAAACTCAGAAATAGACATAACATTTCCTTTTTTTTTCAGAGTATAGTAAGACTTTTCAATAAGATCGCACAATGACTTCCATGAGCAAAATAAAAGACACATACTATTAGTAACACGAAAGTTTCCTGACAACTGACCACAATGGAGAAAACTACCAGTTATCTGTGAGGAGTGAAGTTACATAACAAGACAGTCTGAAGATACTTGCTTCCGTTCCCTATAAAGAGTGCCACTGAAAGGAATGAGTAGGAATCCAGTCCCTACAGCCAGCTTTTCCTCCCAGGTCATAGCACAGCCCAGGTGGGCTGCAGCCCAGGTCAATGGTGCCCAAACCCCTGTCACTCCCTGCAAGGTGCAGCCTTGGGAGTGTGCCAGGTGACACCCAGAGGTGTGTCCCTGGACCCTGTGGCAGTCATGTGTAAGGCCTTCCCATTAAAAGATGGGGAAAGTTGCCCTGACAGGTTTGGCTCACTGGATAGAGCGTAGCCCTGTGGACTGAAGGGTCCCAGGTTCGATTCCGGCCAAGGGCATATCCCCAGTAGGGGGTGTGCAAGAGGCAGCTGATAGATGTTTCTCTCTCATTGATGTTTCTAACTCTCTATCCCTCTCCCTTCCTCTCTGTAAAAATTCAATGAAATAGCCAAAACCGGTTTGGCTCAGTGGATAGAGCGTCAGCCTGCGGACTGAAGGGTCCCAGGTTCGATTCCGGTCAAGGGCATGTACCTGGGTTGCGGGCACATCCCCAGTAGGAGATGTGCAGGAGGCGGCTGATCGATGTTTCTCTCTCATCGATGTTTCTAACTCTCTATCTCTCTCCCTTCCTCTCTGTAAAAAATCAATAAAATATATTTTAAAAAAAAATCAATGAAATATATTTTTTAAAAAAAGATGGGGAAAGGGCCCAGCCAGTGTGGCTCAGATGGTTGAGCATCAATCAACCCATGCACCAGAAGGTCACTGGTTCGATTCCAGATCAGGACACGAGCTTGGCTGCAGCTCCATCCCCATCCCCGGTGGGGGCTGTTGCAGGAGGCAGCCAATTGATGTTGAAGTTTCTCTCTCATCAATGTTTCTATCTCTCTCCCCCTCTCCCTCCTTCCATCTCAAAGCAAAAAAAAATCAATAAAAATTTAAAAAAAAAAAAAAAAGAAGGGGAAAGGGACAGTATACTTCCCACCAACTCAGACGATGTCTAAGGACCATAATAAAGAGGGGAAAATGTTTCAAAGAGATGGGGAAGGGAGTCCTAAAAGGACAATAACGTTCGGGTGAATAACATGGTGGATCCTCAACCAGACCAAACAGTAGCAAGCACTGACCAAACACCAGAGTCACTTCTTTGGAGAATTCTTATCACGTCACCCATCAGAGAGCAGCTTCCCCAAGGGCAATGAGAGAACACCAGGGACTGTGCTGGAACCCACGTGCTGCGGCCACACATTCCATCAGAGCCGGTGAAATTCTGAACCGCACCACCTGCGCGCCAGGTGAGCCACCGAGGAGAAATCAGGAGCCCGGGGAAAGCTGTATCAGGGGCTACGTTTTGGGGTTTTACCTGTGCAACTTGGCCAACCGTGCCATTCATGTTTTCAAATAACGCTTGACTCTCTCTAGCACTAAATAAGCCACTTAACATTCATTCATTCAAGTAAGTGAAGCGCGTTTCATGTGGTGGTATCTGCTGGGTTAAGAAAAAAACGTCGAGAAACGCATGCCTCCTGTGGGTGAGAACACCCCCGTGATTTCATCTAAAAGGAGAAAACAGTTTACTTTTGATGACAAATACGTCTTTATTCAGGGCACACGGCCCATTAGAAACGTGTTTTGGAGCCCTTCTGTCTCATTCACATGACTGCTGGGATGCGCGCTGCCTGGTCCAGGAACATGGGTGGCACTCAATTCAAAGGTAAGGACTTCCTTCCCGGAAGCCCGAGTTCTGCCGCGTGTTCCCACCTGGCCCCAAGTTCCAGAGCGGGGCGGAACCCCGAATTCCACAGGCCGACTGCGCGCGACGCTGGCACCCAGGGACCCGCACACATTCCAAGTTCTGTGCCAGGACGCACACTGAGAGATGTCAACAGTCCTGCTCCACACGGAGCCACCAGGGTCCCTGAAGTTGCCAACTCCCGAAGCAAACGAAATCGCGGCCTGCTCCGGGTCCCGGGGAGCTGCTGGAACCCCACCATCCGCACAGTCCGGGGGCTGAATCACCCAGCAGCACCCCCGCGGAGGGGCCCCACCCCCGACGGGGCCCCGCCGCCCCCGGCCCCCGGCCCCGAGCCGAGGGGTCCAGCGGGCCGAGCGGGTGTGGAGCGCGGTAGAGAGCGCGCAGGCCCGCGCCGCCCAGGCCTCGCCGAGCCCGGCCTCCCGGCGGCTGCGGGCCACAAAGGCGGCGGCCGGCCCGGCGCGCGGCGGCCCGGGAGGCCGAGGGTCGGGCGGCGGCGGCGGAAGCAGGCCTCGGCCCTCCCGCCGGCTCCTGGACGCTGCTCCCCGCCCGCCGGCCCGCCGAGGCGGCGCAGGGCCTCGTGCCGCCGGGACCCCGGCACGGTCGCCTCCCCGGCTCCGGCCCCGGCCCCGCCGCCCCAGGAAGCAGCGCCCCGCGGCCGGCGGCCGGGTCGCCCAGGAGGCAGCAGACGCACCGCCGGCCACGACCCCCGCAGACGCTCACCCGGAGGCGGCCGCTCCGCTTCCTCGCCCAGCGCCGGCGCGACTGCCCCGCGGCCCTCCTCCCCGCGGCTCCTCCTCCCAACGCCTTCCTCCTCCTCTTCCTCCGCCCCCTCCTCCTCCTCCCGGCGGCCGCCCGCGCCCACTACTCGGCCCGGGGCGCTGGCGGGCGTCCGGCGCGGGGGGCGGGGGCGCGCGGGGCGGGGACGCGAGGGCGCGCGGGGCGGGGCGAGCCAGGGCTGGGGAGCGCGGGGCGGGGACGCGTGGGGACCGGGACCCGGGGACCCGGACGCGCGGGGGCCGGGGAGGCCGGGGCCGTCCTGCGCTTCAGTGGGGTCCGAGCCGCGGCTGCCCCGCGCCCCCCCTGGAGGCAGCTCCTGCGGTCGCCGTCCTCCCCGTCTGCTCCCCGCCGGGGGGACCGGGCCCAGGCGGGCCGGACAGTCCTCTCCGCCCTCCAGCGCCTGCCCCGCGAGGTTGGCTCACCTGGCGCGGGGACCCCAGCCTGTCCCCGCGGGGAGGGAGAGGCCGGGACTGCAGGGCCGCCGTGGGAAAGCCCTTGCCACACCTCCGCTGCCTTACTCGGGAAATGTGCTTGCTCAGAGAGAACTTAGTCCTGGGTTCCAGCCAGCGACGTTTCCATTTAGTCCTTTTCAGTGGGGTTTTCTACAAGGAAGGTTTGTGCCGCTGAACTCAGAGGTACTGTGGAGCCGGTAACTTGACTCATTTCTTTGGAAACTGGCTGAATGTACTACTAGGTAATGTATATTTTGTGGGCCAGGCTTTGCATTAAGCTCTTTTGTATATATCATCTCCTTTAATTTGGACAATAATCTATAAGGTCAGTCTGATCATCCCTACATGACTGATGAGGAAGCAGGCCCCTTGTATGTAAGTATAAGCAATAAATAACTTCCCCAAAGTCACCACTACCCTGGGGCAGAGCTGGAATTCAGACTTAGGTCTCTCTGACTCCAGAATATGAGCTCTTAACCACTAACTTAAAGTAAGAGTGATAACAGTCTAGTAATACAACGTTAGAGATACTAGTGGCTAAATATACTATTAAAATCTTCATCCTTGGCTGAATTCCAAATACAGTACTGTACTTACTGGCTATAGACATGTTCTCTTGGCTGTCCACCATCCAACCCTTCCTTTTATCAGCAACTCAATCTCCCTTTGGGGAAATCTTATCTTTTCTCTGCCCACACCCAACACAGGGGAGACTCTCACCCAGGGAGCTGACCCTTGAGTAAGAAAGATCACAAACTTGGAGAGTTCATGGGATATGAGGGGGACCAGGTTCATCCTAGTGGGGTACCTGGACCAGGTTGTTCTTGGTGCCAACCCCCAACTGCCTTGTGATAAATCCCTGTTGTGTTCAAGATAATCGATTTCTGGCCCAGGAGGGCCATTTCTGTCGACCTATGAGCCAGGAGGTCACTGTTCAATTCCTAGTCAGGGCACATGTCTGGGTTGCGGGCTTGATCCCTAGTTGGGGCATGCAGGAGGCAGCTGATCAATGATTCTCTCTCATCATTGATGTTTCTCTCTCTCTCTCCCTTCCTCTCTGAAATCAATGATTCTCTCTCATCATTGATGTCTCTCTCTCTCTCCCTTCCTCTCTGAAATCAATAAAATTATATTTTAAAAAAGATAATCAATTTCTATTGTTTGCAACCACAAATATTGTCTGATGGATATATGGGGGCGGGGGATGGGGATGATGAAGGGTCCTATTGAAAGTATCCTAACAGGGGCAGCGAAGCATAGTTCACCTTCTTCCTCCTAAAGTCATAGCTTCTAGAGCCAGAAGGATCCTTATGGATCATCCTCCGACATCCTCATTTTATAGAGGAAACAGACTCAGAAGTCACAGGACTGACCAAAGTTGAAAGTAGCTGAGTCATCATGACTTGAACTGCTATCACCCAATTTCAAGTCTGGTTTGATTCCTAGTATTAATCGTCTCCCCTTCTTCCAGCAGAGGAAAACAGAATAGAGAAGCGTAGACTTGAGAAAATTGGGTGGACACAGGATGGAATACAGTGGGCAGCCTTCCAACCTCGCCCTGACATTCCAAGTGCACTCTCAGAGCTAAAGCACCTCCTGGGCCCCTGGGGGAAGCTGCCCACGGAAGCACAGTTCCAAGCTCTGGACTTCCCTGTCCCTGTCCCCTTGCCCTCCTGCCTGAGTGTCAGGAGCATCTTCACCCAGTCCAACTTCCCTGTTTGATACTAGTACTGGGTTGAGGAGGGTCCCCCAGAACCTCCGAATGTGACCTTGCTTGGAAATGGGGTCCTTGCCTATGTAGTTCAGTTAGTATGAGGGCATACTAGAGTAGGACGAATCCTTAATCCAATATGATGGGTGTCTCAGACAAGAGACACAGAGACAGCATGTAGCCGAAGACCACACCAGGAAATGCCACGAAGGCAGACACTGGTGATTTGTCCACAAGCCAAGGATTTCTACCCACACCAGATGCTAGGAAGAGGCCAGGAAGGATCCTCCCTGAGAGCCTTGAGAGAAAGCACAGCCCCGCCAACATCTTGACCTTGTACTGCTAGCCTCCAGAACCATGAGAGAATATACAGTATTTCTATTATGTTAAGCACCTGGTTTGTGGTACTTTGTGGCAGCCACGGGGAACTAATATAGTACTCCTAGGCCTGCCCGCCCCTCCCTACCTTTCTCCCCATCCCCACCCCTGTTCTCTGTAATGAAGTCACTGCAGTCTCCTCCCAATCAAAGCTTCTCCTGCAGCCCTGATCAGCATGACTCAGTGGTTAGAGTGTCCGCCTGCGCACTGGAGGGTCACAGGTTAGATTCCTGGTCATGGGCATGTACCTGGGTTGCAGGTTTGATCCCCACCCCAGGCAGGAGGCAACTGATCAATGTGTCTCTCTCACATCAATGTTTCCTCTCCCTTTCTCTCTCTCTCTCTCTCTCTCTCTCTCTCTCTCTCTCTCTCTCTCTCTCTCTCTCTCTCTTTCTTTTTCCCCTTGCCCCTCCCTTCCACTTCCACTCTCGAAAATCAATGGGAAAAATATCCTCATTCCTTGGGTAAGTATTAAAAAAGAAAAAGCTGCTCTTGCAATTTTGTGATTACTAGTGTCACAATAGGTCCCAGTTTGTCCAGGACAGAACCAGTTTATAATAAATTCTGTCTTCACTCTGCCTTTCACCTGAAGTGTAAAATAGTGACTCAATTACCTGGCATTCCTCCGTTTCCTTAAATGACATTTTGCCAGGCAGCTGGGTAACTCCGCCTCCAACTCATGCTTTTCTCCCTGCCTAGAATGTTCTTCCATCTCATATTGAAAATCTTGCCCATCATCAGTCAAGGATCAGATCTGCCCTATTAGAAACCCCACCTAGATCAAGCCCTTAGAGCACACTTCATACTCCACCGTGATTACAACAATAATTCTCCTCTCTTTTCTCTGAATGCAGGTGTTTTGTTAATTCATCTTTGTATTATGCATAGCAGTGCCTTGAAAAAAGACTTTTCACACAATAGGGACTCAAGAAATGTTTGATGAATAAAGATGAATATTCCATTCCTCTCTCCATCTATTTGAGACTAGCCTGGAGATAAATGGGCTTTCAAAATGCTTTAAAATATTCATTTTTTAAGATAGAGGAGTGGCTGGTTTGTCCTTTAGGAAGTGAAAAATACCTTCTTTCCAGAGTACAATTATTAAGGGGAAATGTCTGTGTTCTTTCCAGCGAGCTAGGTTCTGCTCGCTGGAACCTACTGAGGACAAAGGAGTGATGCCTACGTCCCAGAACAAGGGGCTCTGAGGATTTTTAAGACCTGGCAGGTGTGTACCTCTTTATTTCCTCAGAAAGGTATCACTTGGGCAAATATTATTCCTACACGACAAGAGTCTCTGGTACATCGAGCCCAAATCTGTTTCAGATCAAAGATTTTAATTAGTAGATAATTAAAAGAAATACTCACTCCTGTCTGCCTTTCTTACTTCCACAATCCAGGCCCCTCTGACTGCTGAGGAGTCTTTCACTTTGTCAGGTAACTGTTGATTTAGTGCAAAGCAATCCAGCAAATACCCATTTTATTATGAGGAGTTAATGGTATGTGTTTGCCTCTTCTGGAAACTTAGGAGGAGGTGTGTCCTACAGCAGAGAATAACATCACATAACATTCCCCCATTCGTCCAACAATAGAAGAAAGTACTGGAAATCTTCCCTCCAATAGGCAGAAAGCCAGAGCTCCTCTGGCTGGCTCAGGGTGGCCTCAAACTGCTATCTCTTGCCAGCGAGACTGCTACCTGGATAGAATCCCATTTCTTCAAGTCCCCTCCTTTATGGCAAGATGGAGTGAGTTGTTAGTATACTGAATTCAAAAGCTGGAACTCCATAGCAGGGTCAGCATTTACAGATAAAACAAATTTCCACCCATGTTTGGGATTCTAAAGCAGCAGGAAGGCCTGGCAATCAGAAAAAAAGAAGAAAGACTGTATCTCCTATGGCAGTGGTCGGCAAACTGCGGCTCACGAGCCACGTGCGGCTCTTTGGCCCCTTGAGTGTGGCTCTTCCACAAAATACCATGTGTGGCGTGCAGGTACAGTGCGATTGAAACTTCGTGGCCCATGCGCAGAAGTCGGTATTTTGTACCATGTGTGGCGTGCATGTACAGTGCGATTGAAACTTTGTGGCCCATGCGCAGAAGTCGGTATTTTGTGGAGGAGCCACGCTCAAGGGGCCAAAGAGCCACATGTGGCTCGCGAGCCGCAGTTTGCCGACCACTGTTATGGCATTGAGTAAAACTGATTGGATCTGTGTTCCCTGAGATTTGGAGTTACTGAAGTACAAATACCTCCCTCGAAGCAATAGCACTTGTAAATGTCATCAATTGTTTATTACCCTGTCATCCTATGTTACGATCATATTTGTTATTTGATTCTCGCATCATCTTTAACTTTCTTATATCTAAGTGTTCCCCGATTTACTTATGCAATTCCATTCCAACAGTTTATTTGTAATTTAGGTTATCAATTCAATCTACAATGTTTCTAAGGACAAGTGCAGTATTAAAAATGGTCATTAGATTCCCAGATTAGTTCCTCTACCCCATAAAAAAAGCCTATGATACAATTAAATTATACAATTACAATGGATAT